ACGAATGTAATGACAATCAACTTCAATATGTTTGGTGTGTTTATGAAACACAGGATTAGTAGCAGTTTGAATAGCACTTGTGTTATCAGCAAGAAGAGGTGTAGGAGTGTGCTGAGGAAAACCAAGTTCATGTAGCAAACCTTAAAGCCCCACACAATCTCAGAACAAACGGAGGACATAACTTGATACTCAGATTCTGTGGAAGATTTTGAGATTCAGTCTTGTTTTTTTTTCTTTCCATGAAATTAAAGCATTTCCAAGAAACATACACCACCTAGTAATAGACCAACGTGTATCCATACACCCTGCCTAATTTGCATCACTATAACCTGTTAATTATAATGAATTATCAGTAGGAAAAAAGAATCCTCACCCAGATGTGCCTTTAAGATAGCGAAAAATTCTTCGGACAACAACTAAATAAGGTTGATAAGGAGCTTGTAAAAACTGATTGACTTGTTGTATTGTGAAAGAAATATCTGGCCGAGTAATGGTTAGATAATTCAAATTGCTAACCAATTGCCTGTATATAGAGGGATCAACTAACAGGTTACCATCATTCTAACAAAGTTTTAAATTAATCTTAAGAGGTGTAAGAACACTATTCCCTGATTCAAGACCGCCCAAGAGAAGAATCTCTTGGGTGTATTTGTGCTGATGTAGAGAAATCCCATTGGACATAGAGTGCACCTATAAACTGAGGAAATAATAAAGGTGTCCCAGATCCTTCATATGAAATGCACTATTATAAGAACACTGTAAATCCTCAATGAGTGAAATGTTAGATCCTATAATGATAATATCATCCAGATATACTAGAAGAGCAACAATACTAGTAGTAGTTTGCTGAAGAAATAGAGAGGAATCATATTGGCTCTGAATAAATTTAAGTTTCAGAAGAGTAGTGCGAAAGTTTTCAAACCATGCCCATGGTGTCTGTTTTAGACCTTACAGGGACCATTTCAACCAACAGACTTTATCAGATGGGTGAGTAAACATACTAGGAGGAGGAGTCATATAAATATTCTCTTTCAGATCTCCATGTAAAAATGCATTTTTTACATCCATTTGATGAAGTGGCCATCTCTTCGAAGCAGCAATTGACATAATGGTTTGTATGGTAGTCATTTTAGCCACGGGTGCAAATCTCTTCTCATAATTAATAGCATGTGCCTCACAATTTTCAAGAGCCACCAATTATACTTTGTATGGTTTCACAAATCCATCGGGTTGGAATTTAATAATGTATACCCATTTGTAGCCAATAGATTTAATTTTAATAGGAATATCCCATGTGTGATTATCCTCAAGAGCCTAAAGTTCCTCTTTCATGGCTTGTTGCCAACAGTCTTGGGTAGAAGCCTGGGCATAAGTCTTAGGCATAAAAGTACTATAAATAGTAGTTGTTGAGTATCCATACCTGTTTAGGGCACGTGAAACTTGAGTTGATCGTCTTAGTTGAGGGGAATGATCAGATGTCGGTTCTGTGTCTAGAAGGGGCAAAGTGGATGGTGGATAATGTCTTTGATATACAATTCTTGGCTTAAAACATTCAAAGATATAAGATGGACTATCATCATCAAATGTGAAAGCTGGATAGAAGTGGATTTTGTAGAGGGACAATACGGGAAAATTTTTTGATTTTCAAAGAAAATCACATTTCGAGAGATATGAATTTTATAAGCATTTGCATCATAACACACAAACCCTTTATGAGAATTATTGTATCTTAAAAAAGCACAATGAGCAGCTTGAGCTGAAAGTTTATTATGTTCAGTAATTATTAAGTGAACAAAACAAACACGCCCCAAAACATGGAGAGAATCATACTCAAGAATAACACCAAATAAAATAGAGTATGGAGATGCAAAGTTTAAAACTTGAGAAGGCAAACGATTAATTAGATGAACGGTTATTGACAGAGCTTTTACCTAAAATCAAGTAGGTACCAAAGAATCAATTAATAAGGTGTGAACAACATCTAAAAGATGACGATTCTTACGCTTAGCAACTCCATTGTGTTGAGGAGTGTAAGGAAAAGAACTTTGAGAGAGAATCTCTTTGTTTTTGAGATATTCTTGAAATTCTTTAGACATATATTCCCTCTCGGAGTCAGAATGAAGTATTTTAATTTAAGCAGAAAATTAATTTTCAACAAATACAACAGAAGCCTGAAATGTTGAGAATACATCAACCTTAGATCGGAGAAAATATATCTAAGTGAAACGACTAAAATCATTAATAAATGTGACACAATATTTATACTGAGCATAAGAGATAACAAAGTTTATGCCCCATATATCAATATGAATAATTTTAAAATATTCAGAAGCATGACTACTATGTGAAGGAAATGATAATGCTTTGCTTTTACCTAATTTACAAGAACTACAATCTAAAAATTCTGTTGAAAAAGAATTTTTATTCCCCAAATATCCATATTTCATAAGATGAGTCAATACATTAGAATTGGGATGCCCCAATTTCTTATGCCAAAAATAAAGATTATTAATGACAGTAAAATAAGTATAAAAATTAATACTAGAAATAGAAAATTGTATTGGAAATAAACGTTTTACTTTAGACTCTTTTGTGATCACCTTTCTCCAACACTTGATCCTGCACAGAACAACCATGACAATCAAAGTAAACTTCACAGTTATTTTCTACCATTTGACCCATTTGACCAATAGAGAGTAAATTTATGGATAATTTTGGTGACACAAAAATATTATTGAAATAAGATCCCAAACTACCAATAAAAAAAATCGGCAAATTATCACCATTTGCTATCTGTATATGCTGATTATCCATGTATTTTTGCACGTTATACAACCCATTTTCACTGTTGGTCATGTGATTCAATGCTACTGAATCCATTAACCGTTGTTTATTATGTGCCAAATCCAAGGAAAAGTTAAATTTATTTTTCTTACCAGAAATCTTGAGTGCAGAGAAGGCAGATATTATCATCTGCTGCACCATCTCGGGAGTGAGAGTGCTCGACGAAGAGCTCACCAATGATGAAGATTCTGGTGCCGACGGTGAGGACACAGCTGTGACATCCATAGAAGCAGCCCCCAATTTCGATTGCACAGTAAACCCTTGTCGATTTTGTGGTCGTAGACGACATTTCTTGATTACATGCCCCTTTATCTTACAATAATTATAGAATTTCTTGTTGCAATTTCTAGCAATATGCCCTAATTCTTTGCAATTAAAACACTACACACTCACACCCCTCTGTCTTCCCCTTCCTTGAGCCATGTAAGCCACATTCATCTTTGTGACAGTGTCCTAAGTCAACTCGTGTTGAGTGGCGAGTCGTTGTTTTTCCCGTAACAGTTCCGCCAAACATTCATCCAAAGTGGGTACTAGACTTCGGTTGATCAAGCTAGCTCTCACGGCCTCAAATTCTGGCCGGAGCTTCATCAAAAATTGGTCCCCCTGGCTCTCGGTATGAACAAGGTATAGATAGTGCTTCTAAGCTCTCCTTCGGTATTTTAGAGTAAATTATGCCAGTATATTCACTCTATAGGTTTAGAAAATCAACATAAAATTGTTCAATTGAGAGATTACCTTGTTTGTAATTGGCAATACCCATTTCGACTTGAAATTATTTAACCGAATTGTTCTAGGAATAGATGCGTCTAAAGTAGTCCCAAATCTTCTTCCCTGTGCCAAATGATCGAAGATTGTTGATCATATTATCCAAGAGACAATTTTTCCATCCTTGTTAGTCCATATACTTAGCTTCTGTGGATCGGTTGGTGCTGGTGAAGATCCATCGAGATGCCCTCATAATTCCTTCCCTTTAACAAACATACGAAACTGAAACTCCCAACTAACATAGTTTTTGCCATTGAATCGAATAAGAAAAACCTCTCCAGACATTCTAGGAACCACAAAAAAAATCACCAAATATTGACGAATTCAGTCTATAGACTGAAGAGAAGAACAAAGGTCTAGTTCAGAATAATTAACTTTGATACCATATCACAAATATCAGATTTCAACATAAAATTGTTCTCTATTTCATTGATTTTGAAAGGAAGAATTCAGTCCTCTAAATATATGTAATAATCCTTGATTTGTAATCTATAATAAATACAAGATATTCTGTTACAATTTGATTACCATGTATTGTTGAAATTCTTGCCATATACACCGACACAGCATCCATCCCCTGCAATAATGCTGCATTGATACCATAAACAATAATACAGCATTATTGATGGAAGGGGACAAATTTTATCAGTGCTGTATTATCTTACCTGCAATAATACAGCATCCATTTGATTCATAAATATATCCGTTAGGTTTTTTACTAGGTCTGATCGCAACATATCCATATCCGAATATTCAGATCCTCAAGATCCCTCTACATCACATGGGAACCAAATCAAGTTGATGTTTAGTATTTTGTTTTTCAAGTACACTACTGCCTAATTGTTTTGTTTCTTAATTTGTATTGTTCTGTTGTGTTAGTATAATTGCATGCATCTTGACGGGGTTTTTTCCAGACAGAATATAAACTGTGAAGAGTCGAATTTCACCATGCATGCAAATGTGACTTCATCTCTCTGCCAAAAATAAATAAATAAATAATTATCAAGTGTTAATTTGGAGTGCACATGGAACAGGAAATCATATTTTTTAACTCTCCCATGCCCGAGAATATATTCTGATCCTCGTCTACAGGAAAAAACAGACAAGAGAATTAAGAACAGATGCAAATTTTGCTCTCACATCACCATCTATCCGCTGCAGCTTTTTTCCTTTTCCCGCTGCAGCTTTGACAAATCATATTTGGTGACAGCTCATGGTGAAGTCAATAATGCAGATATGTTCATGCATCTTTTATTATCATTATAATCAAGATAAATAATTGTTGCTTGTCGGTAAGATCAGCCAAAAAACTGTCCACGTCAATCTTTTGTAGGTCTAAAGAGCCCTATCAGGGTCAAAATCTCAGAGACTACAATCTGAATCCTCATGCATAATTTGTCCCCTGAGCACTCCTATTGTAGTTGACTTACTCAGTCTCTAAACCTACTACATCAGCAGCTTGCAGAAGCCCTTTCCTAACACATACACCCACACAGCCCAAAGAAAATAGAAGAAGAAATGAATCCATTCTTCACCATTTTCTTGTTCCTTGTCCCCATCTTCCTTCTTATTGTCAAGGGAAGAAAATCATCCACCAAACTACCTCCAGGTTCACTGGGGATTCCCATAATAGGCCATAGCCTGCAGCTTCTCAAAGCAATGAGAACCAATACTGCAGAAAAATGGCTTCACGAAAGGATACAAAAATATGGCTCAATATCAAAGCTGACCCTCTTTGGCAAACCAACTGTTTTCATATATGGAAATGAAGCAAATAAGTTTGTATTCACCAGCGATAGTAGCACGATCTCCTACAGTCAAACAACGTCTCTGAAGATGATTTTGGGAGATCGATGTATAGCAGAACTCTGCGGACAAGATCACAAGCGCATCAGGGATGCACTCCTATCATTTCTAAAACCTGAATCATTGAAAAACTATGTGGGGAAAATGGATGAGGAAGTAAGGATGCATATGGAGACTCATTGGAAAGGAAAACAAGAGATCACTGTATGTTATGAAGTTTCCTATGAATAAATTTCCCTATGTTAATTAAAGAGATGACTAATATAGCTCTTTTTTGCTTGCTAATAGGTCTTACCCTTAATGAAGAAGCTATCGTTCGATGTCATTTGCTCCCTTCTATTTGGAATCGAGCAAGGAGGAACTCGAAGAGATAAGCTTGTGACTTGGTTCCAACAAATGATAGGAGGAATATGGTCAGTCCCCATTAACTTGCCATTCACACGCTTCAATCTCGGCCTTCGTGCAAGTGCAAGGGTTCGAAACTTTTTGAAGGATCTCATAGCTGAAAAAAGGATGGAGCTGAAAAAGGGTGCTGATCCTCACCAGGACCTCATCACTTGCTTGCTTAGCACCCGTGATGAAAACAATGGAGAAGGGATGACCGAGAAGGAGATTGTGGATAATGTTATTCTTGTTTTGACTGCAGGACATGACACTTCAGCTATTCTGATAACTTTCATGATCCGGCTTTTAGCTATTGAACCTTCAATCTACGCAGCTGTTCTTGGAGGTATGCATGAACCTTAACTCTTTGAAACCTTGCCAAAAAACACATCTTGATTACATACAATATTGCCGCGGCAGAACAAGAAGGGATAGCTAAAAGCAAGCCCAGGGGAGAGTTGTTAACTTGGGAGGACCTTGCCAAGATGAAGTACACATGGAAAGTAGCACTGGAAACTTTGAGAATGTTCCCTCCAATCTTTGGTGGCTTCAGGAAAGCTGTTAAGGATATAGAATACAACGGATACATCATTCCTGAAGGGTGGCAAGTAAGTTAAATCCTCAGTTTTCAGTTTCTATCTTCTTAAGCTGCTTTAGTGCTTAACAGTAAACTGAACCCTTCTATCTCTGATACTTAGATATTCTGGACAATGAATATGACTCACATGGATGACAGCATATTCACCGAACCATCAAAGTTTGATCCGACCAGATTCGACAACCAAGCTTCAATCCCACCTTACAGCTTTATTGCATTCGGAGGAGGGCCTCGGATGTGTCCAGGATATGAATTTGCAAAAATCGAAGCCCTTGTTACAATCCATTATCTGGTCACTCAATTTACATGGAAGTTATGTGCAGATACTAGTTTCAGTAGGAATCCAAGGCTCATGCCATCGGAAGGGTTACCAATCAAAATCATACCAAAGAAATAAAATGAAAGCTGTATTTTCTCCCCCTCACTGCAACCCTAATTCAGAAAAATAAATTGCAGTGTGAGCATATCTCGTAGCCCTTCCCGCGTATGCGCGTATGATTTTTTTTTTTTTCAGTGTGAGCATATCTCGTAGCCCTTCCCGTGTATGCGCGTATGATTTTTTATTTTTATTTTTATTTTTCATAATTATCATGTAATTGTTTGGTAACGTAATGTTATGTTTATCATATTTAAGAAAAAAATATGTATTTTTTTTAGAATAACTTTAAAATATATATTTTAGGCATGCTTATAATTTTATTTTATTTTATCATTATTACTTTTTTTTGGGTCTAATCAATTATTATTACTTGATATATATGTTAAAAGCACTAAAAATCTTTTAAGAAAATCAAAAGTTCGAGCAGGGTTTGGCTTGAACACTAACATCCCCTTTTCCCTTCAGTTTTTAAGAAAATCAAAAGTTCGAGCAGGGTATTCTGTAGGATTTGGTTAGGCTCGAACACTAACATCCCCTTTTCCCTTCATCTCCTTGAGAGATGAGCCATATTCACAGCTAATTTTCTCTCTTCTACATTGCGATATCACATGCAGTAAACAGACCCTTGGTTTGGCTGCTTCCGCACATATATCAAGGAACAAAGCAACCGCTGGCATCAACTACGGTTAGAACAACATCAAGAGAAAGAAGATAAGGAGGCCGTTTAACAATATCGTGCTGTAAAGATATTAGGGAATGACGGGCACCTTCCATTCCACATGGAGATAATTAAGTAACTCCATCTTGATCTGCATCATGATGGGCATGTACATTGGCATGAAGCTACATGCAAATGTCGTATGTAAAAGCGTGTCCAACCACCCTTCCAAATGGTTGAGCTATGAATGTGTAAGGAAAGATTTTCACTCGGTCATTTTCCCAAGGAAAAAACAACTATAAACAGTTACAGATACTGCTGATACAGGTATTTTACAGGCACATCACCATCATAATTGCATCTTAATCTATGATGACAAAAGGCATTTGTCTCGGTGCATTTTGTGCTAAAAATGGAATCAGATCATCTGATAAAACAAGCTTTTATCATTTTAAAATGTTTTCAAGATCAACAAGTATACCCACATCAAAATGCACTTGGATTGTTTTTGAAGCCCGAAACGTTGAAGCGGTATGTGGGAAAAATGGATGAGGAAGTGATCAGGATGCATATCGAGATGTATTGGCAAGGCAAGCAAGTCAAGTGTGATCTTCATGTCAGTATTAACACATCATTGTTCTTTAATGGAGAAACAAAGTTGAGGAGAGTATTGTAGCGAAGACGAGAAACTTTTTGAGCTTTCTTTGACAGCCCAACTTGTTGAATCTCAGGCCCCAACCAAGGATCATAAGCCATGCCTTTTTTTTCAGGCATGGGTAAGTGTCACCAGACCAGCTGACCATTGGTCTATGATCCGATGATAATCAATTAAAGAATGCATGTGATTGTCTTTCTTGTACGTATTGTCCTTGATGAAGAAGCTAACATTCAACATCATCTGCTCTCCTGTTTGGAGTCGAAAGAGGAGCTAGAAGAAGTAAACTTGTTACTTGGTTTCAGCAGATGATGGAAGGGGTGTGGTCAATCCCCTTCACAAGCTATAACCGTAGCCTTCAGGCAAGTGCAAGGATTCGAGATACGGGGAAGGATCTCATAGGTGAAAAGAGGGTTGGAACTTGCACAGAAGAGTTCCGATCCACGCCAAGATCTCATCAGTTGCATGCTTAGCACCCGTGATGAAAACAATAGAGAAGTAATAACTGAGAAGGGAATTGAAGACAATGGTATGCTTGTCATGACTGCAGGACATGACACTTCATCTATTCTGGTAACTTTCCTAATTCGTCTTTTAGCTAACTAGCCTTCAATTTATGCAGCTATTCTTAACAGTATACATGACGTATTCTTCTACTCTGCAAACGACAATCTGTACCGGAAATCTGAGCAGCATCAACAACACCAATATGCAAAAATGTTTTAAACACACACACTGAAATGCATTGCATGTCGATGATGATTATTATTATATTTTGCAGAACAAGAACAGATCACGATGAACAAGCAGAAGGGACAGTTGTTAACCTGGGAGTATCATGCTAAGATGTGTTACACGTGGAGAATAGCACAGGACTTGAGAATGTTCCCTCCTGTCTTCGGTTGCTTCAGGCAAGCCGTGAAAGATAAAGAATACAATGGCACCTTAGTCCTCACGGTTTTTTCTTTTCTTTTCTTTCTCTTCGTTGCTTTCGCGCACAACATTTATAGAAACTCTTCTTTTATGATATTAAGATATTCTGGGCAATAAATATGACCCACGCAGATGACAGCATGCTTCCAGAACCGTCATAGTTTGATCCAACCAGATTCGAGAACCTAGCTTCAATTTCACCTTATTGCTTTATTCCACCAGGAGGCGGCCCTCGGATATGTCCAGGATACAAGCTCGCAAGGATTGAAACCCTAGTCACTCGATTTACATGGAAGTTTTGGCGGATAATTTTTTCAAAAGGCATCCAATGCCAGTTCCAACTAAAGGACCGCCAATCCAAATCATGCCAAAGACAAACTTTACGTTCTAGTTTTCTAAATCTAAACAACAGAACTGGTCTAAACGAGTTTGTAGCAAAAAGATGTTCTGGTATTCCAGCTTCGAGTCTTGACTACTTAGCACTATCCCACTTATTATAGAATGGTTGCTGTTGTTATGCAGAGCAGATTCACTTATCCCACTTATTATAGAATGGTTGCTGTTATGCAGAGCAGATTCACCCGATCAAGCTAGATGATTTCTTTCAAAACCAAGGATAATATGTCCGTATTAAACGAATGAAAAAGATGACAACTACCTAACTGACACGTGCGACTTGTATGGCGTAGCACTGGCACTTGACAGAAATATACTTGAGTAGTATTCCCAAAAGGGAACACTTGGCGAATGCAACAAGCAAAGCATCTTTCTCCACTCTTGCATGAAATTGAATGTGACAGCTGAGATTTTGGGAGCATATCAGAAATTGGAAAAAATTCTGTTAAAATAACTAGTACAAATGGCAACTATGGACCCATTCGGCTTAGACAACTGCGATGGAAAGGAATGACAGAAACAAAACACATTCCATGCGTGTAAATAGTCTGCCATGTGGCTAATGTATACGTGTAAGAGAATTAACAGCTAATAGTTCCTGTAGTTTTACACTAACATAGTCACATTTACATTCACTAACAAACCCTTTTGTTTAGCTGCTTCCATGCATCAAATCAAAGAATAATGCAGCCGCTGGAATCAACTATGATTTTACATCAACATCAAGAGATGGGAAGCCATTTAGCAATTCTGTGTTCTAAAGTATTTTGGGGGAAGCGATGGACACCTTTCATTCATATGGGGGTAAGGATCCATGGTATTATATTCTGGTAGTTCCATTCGATACTGCCCTTTAATCTGACAAAATGGGAGCTTCACATCATCTCCATCATTACACCACTTTGGCAGGCGGCTTGAATTGTTTTCAAAAAACCTTAGTGTGTAAGCATCTTTGATCTGCATTTTCATCAAGAAAATGAATACATTCAGGTGGTGGTGATGGGGAAGAGCAGCAGAATACATTCAATCATTAAAGTTCTTCATTAAAACTAAAAAGTTTATAGTGATTCTGTTTTTTTTTTTTTCCTTCTTTTTTTTCTTTGGTTGCATTAAGTAGAATATTGATGTTAAATATCAATGTCTAACCGTAAATGAATTTATTAAGTGTACTTGAAAGACTAACCGTAAATTCAGTCACTTGTACAGAGCTAGTAATTGGATCAAACAGTCCTGCTTCCTTGTACATCTCCAGGACAAAAGCAATACATGAGGTCGACTTTCCATCAGTATACAACCAATCATCCTGTTCAGGAATTGTCAACAATTTTCCAAAGGAGGACCCACGCTTTTCAACTTCTACCAAGATATCAGGAAGATCAAGGCCCTACATGGAGCACAAAAGTTAAAATCACTGTTGATAGAATCAGAACAACACAGACCTTTCAGAAGAAAACCTACAACTAATTTTCTGACTTCAGAAGAATAAGTACACGCAGGCACTTGAAAATTCAGCTACACTCATCTAATCATCTTGACTCCCTTGGATATGTGGCTTGGTGATTAATAACTAACCATAATATCTGGATAAAGCTACCGAGATAAAGGATAGTAGTAACAGGCTAACATTTTTTAGATCGTTTTAGATACAAATGAACAATTCCTAAAAATCAACCAGTTATTGATAGCATGTGCGTGTATTTAATTGAACCATCAAAACAACTTAAATCATTTGATAAGCTAGTCAAATAGCATAAAAATGCTGGATTGATTTATTAAGATACCTGAGTTCCAAGTCGTTTGTTCAAGGCTTCATTCCACATGTTGGCAGCATATTCAGGTTGTATGTGATTCCAAACTGTCATAAAAGAAGCAACCTGCAGGACCACAAAACTGGAAATCAAAACTATGTAGACCAAAAACCTCAAAGTAAAGCTGTACATACAAAAGAATTGTTCTGTAAAAATTCTGACTGATGCTGCTGCTCAAAACTTCAGAAACCAATATTTTCATCAAGTGGTTTTTTAGTTATAAATCTCTCCAGTACCCCTAGCAGATCAAATGCACATCTTGAAATATTTAAGGATTGCAACAAAAGAATTGTTCTGCAAAACTTGGAAAACATTCTTTGGCTGACACTGCTGGTTAAACTTCTGAAACCGATATTTTCATTGGTTTTTAAGTTACAATACTATGCAGTACCCCTGGCAGATCAAATGCACATCTTAAAATATTTAAGGATGATATTCATAACAGCATCACAGTGAAATTCTTCAAGTTTTTTGAAGATGCCACATACGGCTTGAACTTATTGATGGCAATTAAACATCACAAATGTAGCATGCAGATAAGCTAGGGTTTCTAGCTTCATTTCATCAAGATTACAAGTTCTTATTATACTAGACGTTTTATCTTATAAATTTATAACTTATGTTATGAAGACATCAGCATACAACTTCACAATATAATGCCAACACAACTTTCCTAGACAAACCAGGCAGAAACAATTAAATTAACTCATCACTGTAATCTTCTTCCTTATCTAGGGGTAACAACATGATGCACATCATACATGGTTAACCTTGGGGGGGGGAGCTGGAAAATATCTTGTGATGACCCATCTACTTTAGAAATGAAAAAATCATGTTGTCTGGTGTCCATGATAAAGAGGTAGAAAAATAAAGAAGAAATAAATTATAGCAGCAGCATTAACATGGATAGTTTCAATACCACATGAGCATCCAATGGTGGTGGATAGTTCCCATCCAGAGTGTCTATCCAGCTGAATATCAAGTTATGATATCCATAAGGTTTTCCTTTCATGCTCAAAGCATACTCCCACGCAGCAGTCTCATTGAACTTAGCTCGCACATCAGGATGCAGAGGAAGCAGTGCAATATGTGGATTTGAGTTGTCCTTATTCAGCTCAAATTCCCACCATTCATCCCAGGGTAACACAGCAATAACATCTTCTCCCTGCAAAATGGACAAAAATGTTCAAATTAGCCAGACAATTAATGTGGCCATCTTGGTTTCTCCTGAGATCCCAAGGTGTCCAGAAAGAACTAAACATGAATGTTTTAGGGAAATGCCATATCCTGGGCAGTATCAAACCTTCACATAAATCATTGGACAAAGATTAGAAAATTATTATATATATATAAAAAAAACCAAGTGGTGATGTTAAATGTTGTTCTATCAGTTATAGGTTACACCATTGAAGTACTATATTGTAACATATTTGAGCAAGTTCCGCTTAGCTTACCTGTTCATTTTCATTTCCTGATTCACCAACCCATAGTTTTCCTTCAGAATCCCGCAAGAAAACAGCAGAATGACCAGCATAAGCTCCACTGACCCACTTCTCCAAAGTCTCAAAACCACCCCATCTTCCACGAATTTTTGATATAACAAGGAAGTCACCAGAGTGAATATCATCGACACTGATGTTGGTAGCCCAAGGCTGAGGACGCTGTTCAAAGGTAGCTCCCATGTGTTTCTCCAGGAACCCAATATTAGAATTCTCACCCCATCCAGTATTTGTAAATAAGGGAAAGACATCCCACAGTGCTTGAAGGGTTCCGAGCATCCCCGCGTGCATAAGGAAAATAGAGACTCCCCGATTTTTCACCTGATTTCATTGAAAGTAAGATCACAACAGTAGCTCCTAAAAACCAAAAACAAAACAAACTAGCTAATGTATTAAATACAGAAGTGACAGGAAGAGGCAACTTACATATTCATATTCAGCTTTGCTTTCCCACTCTTTAAACTCTAATGTATGTTCTCGAGATAACAAGTAATAATCCCATGTCACACGATATGGAGTGGCAAATACATAAATATCCATGCATGTCCAGCTGTGAGCATTGCTAACCTAAACAGGATAAAGACACATTTCAAATCACTACAAGCACAAAAAAATGTGACCACTCATGGGTGCTAACACGGATAAACCACCAAAAGTAAAACTTACATGAACTAAAAAAAGCCAAGTTCTTTCCCTCAAAATAAAAACATCCATTTACCATAGAACAAAACCTAAAAATTTCAACAAAATGAACCAGAATCCAAACTAGAAAAGGTAAAATAAAACTCAAATGCGATGCTCCAGGCATTGCAAAGCCCGAAAAAGATCAAATTCAGTTCTAAAATTT